AGGATGTATATTTATGTATTAGAGATGTGTGTGTATATATATATATATATATATATATATATATACATATATATATATATATATATATATATATATGTATAAAAAAATAGTGGGGGTGCACACAGTGTGCACATTAACCGTGAAGGGAAGCGACAGTTATTTTTAGGTGTAAACTAACAGGTACCTTCCATGCAGAAGGCTTCGCAAGGCATTTCAATGCTCTCCTATGCTTTCCTATGGCAGGCCCCAAAAATGTAACTTCATCCAGATATGCTTATGTGTAACTTCAGGAAAAAAAAGCAGTTATATTTACCAGGTCTGTGCACACAAACAAGGTCTTTGTCTCCACATTTTAAATAATTTACTCCTGTTAGTTTATAAATTGTGGAGTACATATAATTTTAGACCAACATTTAGCTTTATATTTTTAATATCAGAACAAGACCCAGAGAAACTCCTGTTATTTTATAAATTGTGGAGTACTTAGCAACCCAGATCAAAAACCAAACATGGAGAACCAACATTTAGCTGTACACTTTGCACTTTACTAATGTAGAACAAAATTAGAAAATACTATATACTTAGCAACCCGGAACAACTGTAAAATTTTAAAGTATAGTTTTTCTTCCATTGTGCTTGTGTTGCTTTTGTTTCTCTTCTAACTCATGTAAAGCACTTTGAACTGCCTTGTTGCTGAAAAAGTGCTATATAAATAAAACGTATTCTCTTCTCTTAAATGTAGACACATGAATAAATTCAGCAAAGTTGTAAATTATAGTAATTCTAAAAATAGGCAAAAAAAAAAAAAAAGAGGCACGAAAACAAATTTAATAACAACTGACCTAACCTAACAAGCATCCTTGAGGAACCCCAAAAGAGACGGAATCGGCAGAAACATCCATTGATACAGACTTTAAAACATCATTAAAATGAACTCCGCCTGCTCAGGGAGACGGCGCCTGTTGCTCTTCCTGTAAAAAGCTTGACATGGTCTTAATGCAGACCAAACAAAGCCTCAAGAATATAAATAAAATCACAACATGTAAGGAAGAAGAGAGATAAAATGAAGAAAAAGTTGAGAGGGGAAATGAAAGACCACACAGAAACATCCTAAAGGGGGTTCAATTATTGCATTTTTGGGGCAGATCAAAGTGAGCGAAAAACTCATCTTCATCTGTGACTGATTATGATAAACAGACACAGAACATGCAAGACAAAAAAGGATTGTCTTAAGACGGTTTCATACTGCATATCATGTAAAAGTACTTCCATCTTCTCCAAGAAGCTTTCATTAACTGTGAAATAGGACCCTAAATTACCTCTTTGCTTTTTCATTTTATGTTGAAATCACACAAATAATACAGGAAATATTCATGCACGTTTGTGGATCTCACAGGACCCACGCTCATTCAGAGAGCAATTACAACCTCTTGCACACAGAGCAGTAAAAAGCAGCAATCTCACAGAAAAACCTTAAGTTGTCTTGAAAGCTGTTGGAGAAAGTAACCGGCTTCTCTGTCTTCTTAACTCCTGGCAATTTAATGTCATTTGTAGGCCATACAACCACTTCCCTGGATATAATTCCCATATGAGCTTTATGGGCTATTTCTCTCTGCCCTAATGACAGGACGATAAATAACTGCAACCCCTGCACATCTTAAATATCCCCATCTGAAATCAATACACCTCTGCTGAAATGTTATCAGCAGCAATATTAATCTCTCACCTGGCTTTAATCGCTAATTTCATTTGCTATTAAGCTGATGAATGGGGTTTTAAAAAACCAAGCAATTCCTAACAATTTCAAGTGGACTAATTCATCAAGGTCACCATTACTCATGGACTCTAAAGAAATATTTACTGGAATTCATTTGTGAAACAAAGAGCACCCACATAATGAGGGTTTGAAATGGACCGTTGAAATTGTAATGAGAGTATACAAAATGGTTTTCTGCACAGCTTGTGTCTGCATCCGAGTCCAATATCAGATAGTTAATACAAAAATGTCTCTGAAGATTGTGAAATGATAGAGAACCAGACTATGGAATACGTGGCAAATTAAGGAGAAAGAGCTTACCAGCCGCTTAAAGAAAACAGCGCCATCTGGTGGTGGTTTAGCGCAGGTAGCCAAATTATTGTTCCTCCTAATAGTTTTAACACAGTTAAATTTAAGTATACGATATAAATACTGCAGTATTTATGCGCCGTTTTTTCCCCAAGTTTTTCAATATAAAAACACAAAGTGGTACACAATTGTGAGGGGAAAAAAAGTATTGCACACTTTTTAAAATGTTTCACAAATTATTACATCTGGATATAATGTGGCATCTTCCAGTGTTGCTCCGAAAATGAGACAGAAACGTTTGCCCGTTTTTCTCATTCGGACTGAATGGAGAGCATCTCTAGACAAAGTTTTTTATATATCTTGCAACTCATTCTCAGTTTGGATTTCAGACTAAACTTTGACTGCACCCTTTTTATACTCAATCGGCATTAGTTTATAAAACACAATAACGCATATGAAATACACAAATGTCAGCACTTTAGCCTGTAGTAAGATGTATCCCATGATCTTAAACCTTCCAGATATGATTATAGAACATAAAAGATACAAGCTGAATTCTACCTTAAGGAGCATGTTTCCTGAAGTCACTCCATATGCCACAAATCTGAATATGATGTCTTATTCTTTACAGGTTTGTGTTTGTCTCCTAAAGTAAGCATAAAGGTTAAAGTTCCAGCAACAGCCAGATGTGTAGGCCTGATGGGCATCTGAACCAGACACAAACAGATCAATGCATCATGTAGTTTCTGCATGAAAAGCCTTTAAGATGTTTTGATTGAAAGTTGAGAATTCTGTCCCTGATCAAACATGTACTTCTCATTATCACAGTAAACTCCAACAGGACCATTAATTCAAGAAAGCTATGAAAAGAGCTTCAAAAAGACAATGCAACAACCAAACCGCCTCGCATGAAGTAAAGAACAAAAGAATAAATGTTTGTATGACATTAAAAATGTTGAACTGACCATTTTGTTCTCTTGCAAGTAGAGTCTCTGCAGTTTTGGGCATCCTCGAGCCAACGCCATCATACCTTCATCAGTGATGCCATAGCACTGACCCAAGTGGATGTCCCTCAACTCCCTGCAGTTTGCTCCCAACTGAAGGCAAAAGAAAACCAAAGATTAATAAGCATCAAAATATTTGGCAACTTTTATGAACCAACAACTAAACGAAACGTCACTTGGAACAAAAGCCTCACCTTCTTCAATGCCATATCAGTTAGTTTATCCTGGTTCCCCACATGCACCTTGACCAGGAGAGGGCAGTGTGTCGCCAAAGCTGTCACTGAGATATCACCCAGCTGCTTGCACCTGTAAGCCGTGTACTTCTGCAGACCGGGACAGTGGGAGGCCAGAGAGGACACGCCATAATCATGGACTCCCCTGCAATCTGAGATGTTAATCTCTGTCACATTCTGTCTCCGAGACGCTATATTCACAAGGAGATCATCGTTGACCTAAAGAACAAGAAGAAGAAAAACATTTGACAAATACATTTAAAAGACAGTCTTATTATCGAAAGCTAAGGTTTTCTATGTGAATGTTTATGAAGAGTAATGATCAATAAGTAGTCTCTTACTTGCTGCAAGCCACTGAGGTCGATTTGTTTCCAGAACTGAAAGTCCAAGCAAAGATCCCTCCAATACTTACAAACCAGAGAGGCACAAAGACAGCGCTCTTTCACCGTCAGGTGGGACAGCACCTGTGAGCAGAAGAAACGCAAACATTTCTAGTTTACTAACGCATACAAATTAAAAAATATAAGTGGTAGAGAGTTGCATTCCCTTCACTGACCTTAAGAAGGATGGAGGAAGGCAGGTGGTTGATACTTAGATGCTCAGCAGCATCAGAACTTCTCGCCTGGCAGTCGTCATAGTGATGCAGGCAGCACGGGGTTGAGTCTGAACTGTTGGGCGATTCGGCATGGAGAGCCAACCCACAGCAGCAGTCCGCTGGGGAGGAGGAAGAGGAAGCTGAGGTGGAAGAGGAAGAGGGAATGGGGCAGATGGGAAGGTGGCTGTGACCAGTTTCAGAGTTCGAAGGAGCATCCCCTGCTCCTCCTACATCTCCTCCTGCTCCCACTCCGTCAGGAGTAGCAAAGGCACAGCGCGGCTGCTTGCATGGGGTGCACCTCTGCACCTCCGAGCACTTCCTCTTGCACACCTGCATTCAGAGACACAGGCAGATCTATCAGGTCCTCTACGGAGACGGCACAGCCTAGTTATCGAGTGTCTACACGGTGTGTTCAAGTGCAACTTGTTTTGATCTGGGACCTTTGATGCATCAAGGCTTTAATACAGCTGACTTTACATTTTTAAATTAAAAAACTGACTGAAGTACTTTCAATGATCCTTATGACTTATTAAATACTTCAACAATAAATGATGATTGTTCATTCTCAGATGTATAAAAAAGGAAATACTTTAAATCGGTCATTTTTTGTTGCATACAAATTTTATAAATACATTTAGTTACTTGTCCTCAAAAAAGCGTCCGGACACCGTTAACTTTTCCACATTTTGCCACAATTTAGCTTTAAGTTACAAAGTTTTTTAATGAGATTTTACAGACCAGCAGTCTGCAATTTCCTACTCCTCTTACATTAACATTTGCAATTCAAAGAGACATTTTTTTCCCCTTGGTTCAATTGAGTAAAATTTGCTTATATTTACAAATGTTACATAACCTTTTGAAAAGGCGACAAGTTCCAATTTGGATGTATGTCTACTGCAGGAAATGTGTTTGTCATTCTTAAGAAACGCTGCTTATAAAACACAATTTTTGCGGTTTAAAATAAAGAAAAGCATAAAACTTTTGCGAAAAGAAGCTGAATACATTTTCTTCTGAGGGATGTTGATTTTTATGAAAAATATATATTTTTTTAAATCAACATTCCACCTAATGACAAGAAAAACAGATTAAAAAATGTTGGTGGTACTTTCATTGTGATTCTGTTGTTGAAATTTAATCTAATTGTTCCATGAAAAAGTCTGCCAAAGCTTGCATTTGTTATCTCTATATTTAAAAACATTAACTTTTTTTTTTCTACCAATGTTTTTAAGAGCCATTGTGGAAAAGAGCCAAAGAGCCACTTGCGGCTCCAGAAGCTGCAGACCCCTATTATAGACCACCAAAGTGCTTAGTTGTGAAGAAGAAGAAAAATCTCAAAGTTTGGAAATTCTTGTGTTTTCAAACACAATGTGTGGCTGTGTTGTGACAAAATGTGATGAGAGCCAAGGCATCTGAATACTTTTTGTAAGAGTTTTCAGCAGCTGAAGAGTTTAGAGTCGATGCCTACCATCTCTGTGTATTCGCTGGTGCAGCCGGGCACAGCCACAGGTATGGGCACAGTCACAGACACACCAGCCGTCCGGAAAAGCACCGGTGGTGGAATCAGTTTGGCAGGAACGGCTGACAGAAGACTCCTCCCCTGGCCCTCCCAGATGGCAAGTTCCCTTTGCGACAGCAGAAACTTAGAGCAGTCCTCAGGCGACGCAAGAGCCGCGTATCGCTCGGCAAGCTTCGAGGCTGCCGCCGCTCCGATGCCGACTTCGCCTACGCCCGGCACGCTGATTCCAGCGATGCTGTTGTGACGGCAGCCGTTGACACCAGCTTCCAGCTGGTCGCTGTCGTCGTCAAGACCGCTGCTGTTGCTGTGGACGATGAAGCAGAGCATGCAAGGCCCTTGGAGAAAACAGTTCCTCTTCTTCTTCTTCCTGTGATTTAACTTGCGGGTCCTCTTCTTCAGGCGTAGACCATTTTTGGAGAGAAGATGGCCCATATAGATGATTCAAGGAAACTCCTGACAATCAGAAACACATTCATTTTTATTGCAACTGCATTTCTAGGAATAATATTCTCCTTATTTCATCAAATTAGTTGATTGCTAAAGAAAATAAAAATCGCATGGACATAAAGTGGTTGTGAAATGTCAGTACAGAAGAAATGGTACAGACTGGGAACAAAATGGAGACATGATGGTAAATGTTCCCAGTGTTACATGGATTACATATAGACAGCTCAGCCTTGATTAAAGAGCAACACCTTTAATCAAGGCGTTGCTTGATTAAAGGTGTCCATTTAAAACAAGAAACTCCTCCCTTGATTTATTTATTTATTTCTAAATAAATCAATCACCAGCTTCACTGTGATTGATCTTTCACTCAAAGCAGCATTGCATTCATTCTCCTCATTCTTCTAATAGAAAATTAAAAGGTTTTTTTCCTTCTTCTTTTCAAGGGGGCGTACAGTGTATCGACTCCATTCTTTATGCTGCAACAATTTTTCATTTCGATATTACACACATTTCGAGAGTCAATTTGTAAAGTTCTCCCAACAGTTCTTATGACATTCTGAGAGCTTGATTGCCCAAAATAAGTCAAAGTTAGCTCCTACAAATGATTGAAATAAATTACTCTGTGTTTGATGAATTTATGAGTTTATCTCTTTTAATTGCTTCGCAGAAATATTCGATGATTTTTTAATTTATTGAGAGCTACCTGTATAGGTGTGTGTCAATAAAAATCAAGGTACTGATAGGGAGGCGCTGAATGAATGCTCAGTACTATCAACCATTATTGGCGTCAACAACTTCATTAATGATTATACCAGACTAGAGTTTTACCCTTGTTTGTAAAACCAATCATACTTCATCCGAAATACAGTAGTATCCTGTACAGTCATGCGCATTTAATTAATCCTTGATATGAGATATCACTTCTACAATTTCTACTTAATTGCAGATCTGTTTATGTCACAATAAAGTTTAGCTTTTTTAACATTAAAAAAATACCTCGTCTGTCTGCAGTCGAATGAAAACACAGGGATGTAAACAGTGAACAGGTGGCTCTTTGACTAGCATAAACAAAAACACACAGCACGGTAAACCTTGAAGCCGTGACTTACCTGAACTCTCTGCAGGTATAAGTCCAGTTTAGCTCACGGTTTCTGCCTCATTTGGAGTGGAAAAGGCAGAAGCTAAGAGCTTTCTGGTAGGCTAAGCAGCTCCATCTTCATCATCAGATGCTAACTTAGCTGTAGCTTTCAGCATGAAGCAGCTCTCAATGCACTCCGCCGAACGGTGCCCGCATAGTCCTGCTACGAAGTACGGACAAAGTGAGCGCTGACAGCCCCGACGGTGAAGACGGAGGGGCCGGAGAAGCAGCACGGGACCCGCCGCGGTGTTTATCCAAACAGTTTGCAGCTCTGCCTCTGCTGCTGCTCTGCAGAATAACACTTCCGCACCGAGAGGGCAGAGCGAAGGAAGCCGACGAGGGCGATTTGGAAATCCAAACGAGGGCAAAGTTTCATCTCTGTAAATGAACATTAGCAGTTTTATTCCTGAGATAAATACCGGTAGAATACTGACTTTACTAAAAGTCCATACTCTACACAATGAATGCAAAACAAAGGCTGAAAACAAAATCTTAAGATGCCCTATTTACGGGCTATAGCAATTCAAACAAGCTTCACATCCAATAAGTTATTAATAAACTTAGAGCCGTTAATATTTTTATACATAAATTATGATATACTATGAACTATTAATATATTTTCATATACTATCCCTTCATATAGAATAACTTAAGGTATTACTCTGTAAAAAGAAGGAATTTTCATGTGGAAAAACATGACAATAAATATTGTTTTACTATAGCCACATCCACAAATTTGCATTTTATTGAGATTTTATTGAAAAGCCAACAAAAATGTGTATGTTTTTCTTTATTTTTAACAAAGCAATAATGTAAAATTGTCTGGTTTGCATATTATGCCCCCTTTACTGTGACACCTCTAAATAGTCATAAAATACTTTGTGAATGTACAAGAATTAGCCAAAAGGCTGGACAAAAGGCTATTTTTATTTTGTATAAAAATATCTGTGCGTGTAATACTGGATTTGTAACTCGTGTAAGCATCTTTTCACTCCATAGGTCTCATCTTCCAGCAGGACTGTAACTCTAAACTTAACAGCCAAAGCTATAGAAGCTTGGTTTGGAACAATGCATGTCTTTGTGTTCAATTGTTCAGTCAAAGCTCAGTTTTCAATCCAATTTAAAAACTCTGAGAGAACTTGGAAATCGTTCGTCCCTCAATCTGACTATGATTGAGCTTTAATGTAAGGAGCCACCATAGGCAAAGACGTAATTTTATTGATTTGCAAAGGTAACCACAGAAGGCCCTTTTGCAAAAATATTGATTGAGGGTAGCTTAAACAAACACACATCACGTTTTGTTTTTTTCTAGTAAGAAGAACTTGCATAGGCAATATTATCATGTGTATTTAGTTAATTATGACAAACAATATGCAAATATTTTTAATGAATAAATACATGACAAATCGAACGTTCTTCTGTTCTGCACAAATTCCAAAGTAGAGCTATGTTAAGTTACCTCTCTCTCTCTCTCTTTCTCTCTCTCTCTCTTTCTCTCTCTCTTTCTTTTCCATGGGCGTGAAGTAAGTTCCACTTCCCAGCTCCTCCAGGCTGAGAGGCAACTCCCGAAATAGCGCTGCTTGCTGGGAAGGCTGCATGCAGGGGGGAAAAAATGGCTGAATTGGTCTCACCGATTACTCGACAGGTTTCTACGGAAAAGTGGAAAGCTGGAACACCAACTGTCGATATCAACCTTAAAGATGTCGAGGACTGTTTGATTTACGACCGCCGTGGAGTCTCTTTCCCTTTCAAGAGTTTATATCAAGACAGCAAATCAGTCATCATTTTCGTCCGGGTAAGAAAATAAAACTTTCTGTAGCTTGTTTAGTTAGTTCCGTGAGTGGAAACCTCATAATAGATATTTCATCAGGTGGCCGTGGCGAAAACAGGAATAAAATACCCATACAGAGCAAAACGAAGTGCTAAATAAACGCAATTTTTTTATGGTTAGTTTCAAACTTGTTTTCTCACAATGCATGTTTCTAAATGCCACACATCATCTGTCCTCGCAGAATTTCTTGTGCTACAGCTGCAAGGAGTATGTTGATGATTTAAGCAAAGTGCCAAGAAAAGCGCTGGAGGTGAGTCCTGACATGTAGGAGTTGCCTACATTCGTCTGATCCATCAGATATTTTTGTTGTATTATTGTGACAACTTAAGTAAATATGAATTGTGTTTATTGTTGAAATACCAGTTTCTGCTATATGTCTGTGCAGGAGGCTGGAATAAGACTGGTTGTTATAGGTCAGTCTACTCATCAGCATATAGAGGTAATAAAATCGATATCGTGTTAATGTCAATACTGTGTGACATTGTCTCAAGAAATGTATGACTTTACATTTAAAACTGATTATTGGAATTTTATATGTGCATGCATGGTGCCCTGCAAAAGAGAGAAGCCTCAAAACAAAAGGTCCACAATATATTAATTTATAAGGGTGGAACGCAATTGCCTTTTTTTTTTTTTTTAGATCTGAATTTATACACATTTTGGAATTTCTGGATAATTTTCCTTAAACAGCACAACTATGCATTATTGTGTTTGTGTAATATTCCAATAAAATGCATTCTTGTTTAAAGGGGGGAAATGCAAAGAAGTGAAAGGAATACAAATACGTTTAAATGTTTCACCTGTGATTTCTATGCCATTTGTCCTAAACTAAAATCATGTCAGCTTTATTTATTTCTCCGTAACGGATTCTTTTTTATTATTAATATTCATTTCTGAATAAGTTCTTTGTGCTCCATTTAATCCAGCCTTTCTGCTTGCTGACGGGCTATTCTCATGAAATATATGTGGATCCAAAAAGATCAATTTACCTAAAGCTTGGGATGAAAAGAGAGGAGACATTCACAGACTCTGGTAATATATTTATGAGAGTTTAAAGTGCTTCTACTAGTGTTAGATTAAAAAGAAAGTACACCCTCTAAAACATGCAGATAAGCTACATACAATATAAAAGTCTAAAATCTGAAGAGGATGTAATTTCTTTATGACAAAACTGGATAATTACATTTTCCACTGAGATGTGTTTTTGTAACCAGCGCTGCCCAGTCCTCATGTGAAGTCTGGTTTATTTATGGGCCAAATAAAGAGCATATGGAGGGCTATGACCAGCCCTGCATTTGATTTTCAAGGTGATTTGCATCAGCAAGGTGGAGCCATCATTGCAGGACCAGGTAAGGTGTAATCTCTTAGTCTTCAATCATACAGTTTGTCTTCTTTTATTTACTTTTATTTTTCTTCTCTTCTGCTCTCTGCAGGCTCTCAAGTTCATTTTTGTCATTTCGATATGAACCGACTGGATCACATGCCCATCACCTGGCTCCTCCAACTAGCTGGAGTTCAACAGAGCCTGGACTTCAGTCCTAAACCAAAAATTATCCATGTGTAGCATTAAGTAATTTAGGATTAGTCATTCCCTTTAAGCTGATGGAAGTCAGTTGCAAACTTCTTTTATTCCTGTTTATGATGTAAATTTAGGCTCCTGTGTTTTTTTTTTTTTTTTTTTTTATTTAAAACCTTTGAACCAGTGTTACTTTCCTGTCTGTCAAGGGTCAGTGGTTAATATTGTAATCTAGTGTCACTCATCAGGATATAGATACAAACTACAGTAGAAGTGGCATGTTTTCTTTACTTAAATTGGGAAAGTTCGCAGAACTATGGGAATGAGTTCAATGTTCAAATTTTAAAACTGCATGTTTAAAATGTGAAAAGACATTTTTCAAGCAAATGAAATGATACAGCTGGGTTCTGTAGTGCATGTGACTACAGAACCCAGCTGTAGTCACATGCTGGGTTCTGTAGTCACATGCAGAACCCAGCATCAGAGTAAAAGAAAATAGATTAAATGGTGCTACATAATATTGCAGCAGCACAAATTCCAGGAAATTTCTGATAAAGTATGATTAGAGCACAAATAACTCCATGCAAATAGAGTAGGGATATCCAATAGGATCCTATAAAAGTGAGCAGCAACACTTTTTATAGAACCCTACAACCCTACAACCCTGGCTTGTATTTGTGAGTACAGATGCAAGCCACACTTTTCAGATTATTATTTTCAAAAATATTTAAACAATCTTCCTTCTGTTTAACAAATAACCACCACTTAGTTGATCCGTCATACAGAATCCCAATTAGATGCTCTTCATGAAAGTTTGTTTTCATAATGTGAGAAGGTTTTTGCTAAAACTATTGATGGCTTTCAACATGTGTCAACATGTGTGAGAACTACTTGAAAGAGTTTCTTGAGCTGAGTTAGTTTTTCATGTTGGCTTTGTTTATTTTCTATGATTCCATTCAGAATCAATCTGTTTCTGTGTACAGCATAGTGCAATTTTACAACTGTACTTTGAGTAAAATGACTGTTGCACTGACGTTTGTATTCATCTTTTAAGTTTTTTAATCATATTTTCAAATAAAATGCTATCTCCCAGCTTCACTTCATTTTTGCCACATTCAAGGGTCTGGTCAGTTGCATCCAACTTCCCCTGAACTACTTCATTTTGGAATGGTCTCGGTAAGCTGCAAAACTAAAGCAACTGATCAGCTAAGGGTGGGCTCTGGACATATAATCCTGATACGTCACATGCAGGGGATTCGGAAAACAGAAACCTGCCCCTGTTCAAAGACGTCACCACCACCACCACCACAGAGAGCCAACTCAACCTCGGTTTGACACAGAACACAACACAAGCACGCACAGAAAGGCTGCACCGGGAGCGCAGGAGCCAAGCCATGTCACGTTAACAGCAACGGGGGACTGCGGACGGAGGGGGCATCGGTGGCAAACTCTTCGCTCGGGAAATGTCCTTCATGCTGCAGCTCCTGAGGAGAGAATGAAGCGCAAAAGCGAGAAGAGGCGAACCGAGTCGAGGAAAAAACGCCGCGCAGCCCACAGCAGCTCAGAGGCGGAGCTAAGCTCTGATATTTACATTGAGATAACAGGTAAGAGGGGTCTGCACAGTGAACCCTGTCAACTTTCAGCCCACTTGGCCAATGCATGGGGACCTGCGTACACTGTGTCCTTTTAAAACGCAGCACTCCTTGATTTTCTTCAGCTTTTCCCCCCCAATATGGCGACACCGTGTGTCCTTTATGGGCCAGAGGGTTTGTAGGGAGCTACCTTTAAAATCAATACACAAATACCCAAAAATGTAATTTATGTTTAGTGTTTATTCTAGTGCAATCAGTCACGCTTGAAACGCATTATCTCCAAGCGTCTCCGTTAGCCGATCGTGTTTATGTCACGCATGTGCACAAGGGCGGTGCAGTGATGTGTTTATGCTGAAAATAAATAGTAAAGTCCACATCAGCTTCTCTCTTGATAATTTTTTTCAAATGTTTATGACGTTTCCTGGTTCCAGTTCATCCTTCATGAGCTCAAGTCTGACAGAAAAAGGTTTGTCTTAAGTGGAAATCGCAAATCTGACTGGCTGACGGATCGTCCTAGCAACCGCTTTGGCAACTATCCCGGGGCCTATCACGTCGCTTATGTGGAGAACTTTAAACTAAAACAGGCGGAGACCGAACTCAAATAACAGTGTCATCCTCCAATCAAAAGGCGTCCTGGATCTGTCTCAGCCAATAGCGTCGCGGGGAGTTCTGAGAAGGAGGAGTCTCCCGCGGAGAGAAGGTGGGAGGGGGATCGGTTTTAGCAGAGTGCGCACTTGCACTCTAAAGTCTCCTTCGCTCTTTGGATGGTGACTTTCTTCTTTTTCAGAACAGCTCAGGATCAGGAAAGATAACTTCTTTTTGCTAAAAGTTTTTATACAACCGATTTGACCCTTTAAAAAATAACAAAACAAAAATAACAGAGCACAGCTCACGTGTAAAAATTACTTGCATGTTTTCGTGAAGGAATCCGCTCCGTACCTATAGGTGGAAAACGTCATGTTCGGATCTGCTCGCAAAATGACCTCAGACGATGTTTCCTCCAGATGTATCGAGTTTATTAAGGGTATGTTACCAGAAATGTTAAATAAGTTATGCTGGAAGTACTGCTGTCCTGCTTGGAATGGATGAAAGGAGTTATATAATGACAAAAGTAATTAACTTGGACCTTTTTTTTTTGTCTCCCTGCCCCCTCCTTCGTTCCTTCCTTCCTTGTCTCCTCAGATCAACTATATTTTGCCATACTTCATCAAAAGATCAAGAGCACAGCTGACCGACACTGTTTCTGCATAGATGAAGAGCTGGCATATGAGAAGTGAGTTCTTTGCAGTGCAGTGCAATATTTCCGTACTTTGCCCTTTGACCTTCTGCTTCTTTGAGTGCCGAGTTTTTAAATAGATTTACAATAGTGTTATTGCCAAAAAAAAAATATTTTAAGCGTAATGCACTATGGGTTTTTATGCTTTTAATTTTCAAGTGTATTTACGGTGAGTTCTGTTCATTTCTATGCTGAAATTAAGAACTAGGTGACAAAGTGAAGGCTGTGCAACTCAAAGTTGCCCAAGAGTGATGATGCTAGACTGGAAATGCTGAACTTGGACGTCAGTTCATAAAAGTGTCCACCAAAGACAATCTACAGATAGCACTTAATTTAGTGAAGTAAGGACATATGGCAAATGTAACACATAATGGTTAGACGAGAAGTTTAAATTACTCAACAGCAAACAATCATTCCCTTATTTGACTCAAAGACACAGAGAAAAGAAATGTTGCTAAGCCTACCAGCAAAAAAAAAAACTAAACTCAAAGATTTTATCACCTGAAAAACTTCCTGCTCTTTAACAACACCTACTGTCGCTTCAGTTTGTTCACTTTGCTCCCGTTTTTGAACAAACATGGCATGAACTGAGTCGTGTCCTCGTCCCTTAGTTTTAGGGTGTGTTGTTTTTATTTATTTTTTTCTTCCCTCAGATCCACAATTCCAATTGTTTCATTATCCCGGAGAAAAACATGCTTTAAATGAAGACAGTTTTTAAAGGGTGAAAAGAGATCTGTCCTCCTTGCATTTATTTACTTCCATGGAGCTCAAACAGGTTTCCTGGATAGATTGTTAGAACACTGTAATAACTGCAAATCTTTACGACATGTTCCTCTTGAAAAGGTCTTTCTGTCAAGAAAACACTCAGTTTTATGAATGCAGTGTTTTTGAAACCTTGTCATCATCCATCATAATAACACCTTCCTGTTTTAGTTGGCGTGACTTTAATGTACATTTTAATTTCTGGTTTTAGTACTTTTATGTTTACTCTGGTTATTATTGTTTTATTTTTCTTTTGAGGATTTTTTTTTTCCAACTTCATGTACAGCTTTATCCTTTGTCTTTTTCTATGCAACACTTATATTGAAAGTCTTTTACAAACACATTTCCAATTACTGTATTTATTATTGTGGCCTCCGCTCAAAGCTCACAAACTATTTATTTATTGTCTATTATTTCCAAAAAGGTTTTATTTTGTCCTATTTCAGTTGATCTAAAATGTTATGCCCACAGAACAGACCAAAATAATGAACCAAACTACTGATGGTTGATATTATTCATCTTCTTTTCTTAAACATATTTCTTAATTGTTTTTTTAATGCATTATACGGTTATGAATTAATGGGTGTTCAGTATGAAAATTTTCACATTTTATTCAAAGCTTAGTCTTAATACAGTTAACCTCATGATGTGTTACAAAATACAAATCCTGTTGGTAAGATGCATGTTTTTTCTAACATGTTCCCTGTTGTCCACATTACGTAGTACATTTACATTTTTTTTTTTTAATTTACATTTAACAAAGAAAAAAAAAACACTGAAAACTGATTGGGTGAAATTATCCAGAACCTGTCACTACTACAAAGCTGTCCACAATGGGATAATGTCAACATGTTGCAACTTCTTTTTCTGCTGGTGGAATAAAATGCTTTTAATGCAAACAAGAGCATTTTGGTTGCAGCAGTTTCAGGTCTTGTCCCAGAGAGGACACAGCTGACGTGAGGTCCAACTCGGTAGTACAAAAAACAAGCTCTTATTTTACATTTCTTTCTCCTTTATTTTTAATTGAAACACTCTATGATTAGAAGCTTCCAAATATACTCATTACTCCCGTCAGTATTTTCACTGTAGGCCCGATGGCGCTGATTCGATCTTGTGAAGCGTCCCCAGGGACGGAGGCTGGCTGCATAAATAGCCTTTCTTACACTCTCTTTCTTCTCTCTTTGCCTCTCACAGCTTCTATGCGGACTTTGGCCCCCTTAACCTGGCCATGTTTTATCGCTTCTGTTGCAAGCTGACAAAGAAGCTCAAGGTAAAGTAAACTGCAGCAATTAATTACACTTCCTGGAAAAGGAGAGTGGAAAAGAAAACATTGACCAGTCAATATCTATTTATACTTGCAGTGGGCTGTGTAAAACGGCAGATTTGCTGTGTTTTTAGTGTGCTAGTTGTTTTACAACTATTGTCAGCATTGGTGCTTGTGAGCCACTTGCTGAGCCAGTTATACCTGGGGGATCCAGTATCTCTGCAGCTGTTATCTAATGGTGTCTTTAGAGCATTTAGTCATTTTCTCGCCTATTTTAAATCATCACCGTTTCTGTTGACGTAAGCAGATGTTAACAGCTTAAATAAAAACACAGCTTTATTAGGGAAGTTCTCTGTTTTTATGTGCTTCTTGGTAAGATAGCTTCTGGGTGACAAAGCAGGGCGATAAAACCAAATAATTTAACTCCTGTGCTCTCCGTGTCGTAGTCAGTCGGATTGATTTAACATCTCTTCTGTTATTTTCCATGTTTTGGACAGTCAATGACACTCATGAGGAAGAAGATCATTTTTTATACTTGCGGGGATCAGAAAAAACAAGCCAACGCTGCCTACCTAGTAGGATCGTATGCAGTAAGTTTTGCACAAATGTGCATATTTCATGTGTGATCCATGTAGGTGTGGGTGGGTGTCAGATGTCAAAATCGGTATGCAATACAAGAGAGTGCATGCTGAAAAGATCCTTGTCTTGTACAGGTGATGCATCTAAACATGACACCAGAGGACGCCTACAGCCTGCTGGTATCCAGGAATTCAACTTATCTTCCATTCAGGTAATAAGTCGCCGCTTTATTGTTCTTGAGCAGGTGTTGTTTTAGCATTACTTCTGTTCAATTGTGTGCTCAAAGGATATTTTAAAGAAGATAGTTTAACACACAAAAAAAAAAATATCTTTTGGTTTTGCTTTAAAGTGTTTCTTTCTCGATAATCTGGAACTGGAAGTCCCAAATTCCTTCTATTTCATGTTTTTGATGTGTCTTTTTGCACGCAGCCTGTAAAACATTTGGGATTTTCAGGATGGGTGGCTGGGTTGACCAACAAAGAAACAGAAACCCTGTTGTGTAATAAAAGGTAAACAGAAAAGAACAACTTCAGAGGAGGATGCACTGAAAGAGAACAACAAACTGGATTAAAATGCTGGAAATTTGCAGCGAGTGAGAAACTACAGAACTCCCTCCAAACAGTGT